CCCTCTGGAGAAATGGGGATTTCCGATTTGGTACTTCGCGGGTCACATGGCGCCATCCACAAATTGTCCAAGAACTTTTGTGAACAAATTCAAAAGTTTTGCCAATTTTCGAAGAAAATGCGAAAAAATAAATAGGGCATTTGCAGTCACCTCCAGAGGTGGCAGCAAATTCCCTTGCCCTGCAGCTTCCCAGGCCACTGACAAATGGACACACCAATAAATTCAATAATACATTTGGTACTTTGGCAAATCTGTGTGATCGGCCCTCTACTCTTTTTTGGGGGGAATTTGAGATTATAGGTCCCAGTGTGAGTATGCCCTTAGGGTAGTACTTAAGTAGCGGTAGGCCTAGCAGAAGAAGACAAAAAGCTAGTACCTTTGGAGGCCGCTTGGATTTTAGAGAGTCCGGTAGGCAGGTCTAGGTACCGGTCCGAAAGTCTGAGTTTAGTTCCTGTAGCGGGCGATATCACACCTGCAATGATGGTTCCCTCTGAAAGGGAGAAGGTACCGGTTGCTTGGGAGGCTGTGCGGCGTGGAAGTCAACGCCCAAGAGGCTGGTTGCCGGATACATCTCCAGGTGATCTCTTCCTCATTTGCGGTGTGCAAATTTGGGCGTCACGCTGCTGGAGCGCTTCGTGGAAGAGCATTTTGTGGAGCACTGGGAGGAGTGCCTGGGCTTCCACCTTGGCTATTCTGGACTGCGCCAGGAAGGAGGAGGTAGAAGGGGACTAGGAGGAGAGTGGTAGGGTTGCTCACCGGCTATGGTGGACATCATCTTCATCTCCTTGGCAGGCGCTGCATCTAGAATTGGCCCCAATAGGGGTAACACTGCATCAAGAAGGCTTCAGGGCAGAGTCAGGCATGGCGGCCTGAGGTGTAGAGGACATAGCTGGTTTTGCGCTGAATTTTGAACATCGGGGCAGGGCCCCTAGTGCGCCATAGCCATCAACTGTCCGAGGTGGATGGAGGTGGAGGTCATGGCTATGGTGGACCTCATGTTGTGCTGGCAGTAAGAGGGAGATTCAGACATTGGTTCTGGTTCAGCCATTCATTGTTTTTAACTTATTATTATTATTATTATTTATTGTTGAATAGGATTGGGGGAGATAAGGAGGAGAGTGAGTGGCGAGAGAAGGGGGATTTGTCATTGGTCGTTTGCTGATGTGCGTCTTCTTCTTCTTCTTCTTTCTTTCTTCTTCTTCCCTTGTCGCTTTCTCCTTTCGAGTTCTTTCCATTCTTTTGCAATTGAACAGCATTGTCTTTCCTTGTGTATTTGCACTTCGCAACTAGTCAGGATCGTAACAATGCCCTGGAAAATAGCCACAGCTGCCCAACATCTGTAGGACTAGGTCGGATACGGTCATACTGAACCACCACTGCATCTAACAGCCCCCATTTGCCATTGGTAGTAATGGCCTTGAAAAGAGGTTTGGGAAGGGGCGGTTTCCAAAATGATCCAGTCGCTCTGACAAGTGATGAACTGGGGTACAGCCGCTGGCTGTTTCACATTTTGCACCTATAAGCACTTCCCCACTGCAATGGTTAAAACTTAAAACCAATGTAGGCAACCGAAATGTTGCGTCCTGGTACTGCGGTTTGGATGTGGTGGTGGTTTAAGGGTGATCCAGATGTGCAGCTTATTATCCATGGGTACCAGTGCAAGTCCACCTTCCCATGACACATTTGTTCCTGGATACATCTTTAATGGGGCCTCATTCTTGTTTTTTGGGTTTAGGGTTTTGGGTTCAAGGTCTAGGGTTTCGGGTTTAGGGTTTATGACTTAAGGATTATGGTTTTCGGTTCAGGACTTGGGTTTATGGTTGATGGTTTAGGGTCTAGGTCGAGGGTCTAGGGTCTAAGGCATAGGGTCTAGGGTCTAGGGGTTAGGGGTTAGGGGTTGGGGTTAAGGTTGGCTTAAGGTGTACGGATGAGTGTTCAGGGGGTAGGTTTTAAGGTTCAAGGTTTAGGGTTTATGGTTCAAGGTTTAGGGTTTATGGTTTAGGGTCTAGGTCTAAGGTCTAGGGTCTAGGGTCTAGTGGTTAGGGGTTAGGGGCTAGGGGTTAGGGGTTAGGGTTAAGGTGGGCTTAAGGTTTACAGATGAGAGTTCAGGGGGTGGGTTTTTAAGGTTTATGGTGCAAGCTTTAGGGTTTAGGGTTCTGACGGGGCCTCTTTCCAGACATAATCCAGTTGTTTCGACAACCGATGTGTTGCAGTAGAGCTGGTGGCATTTTTATATTGTGTAATGGTAGAGACTCAGCCACTACCAGACTTGGAGCAACGCATGTGACTGAACCAGCTGGCTTTGGTACTCTGGTTGGAATGTAGTGGTGAGCTAAGGGGTCTCCAAATGGACAGGTTCATACCTTCCTTGCCCAGGGGCATCCTTTCAATTTCAACTACTTCATTTAGGGTGTATCCGTGGTTAAGGGATGTCCAGTTAAACAGGTTCATTATCTGCAGGTCATCAGTGGAATTTCACCTACTTTTCACCTACTTCGGTTCACATATAGTGGCGATTAAGGGGTGTCTAGCTACACAGTTTCATTTCCCATGGGCATCAGTGCAATCTCAGCTTGTCATCAATTATCAATACCTTTGATGCTCACTAGATCTGTTGACGGGGCCTGGTCCTGCAGTCGTGGAACCTTGTCCCAGCAGCCTTCAAGTACTTAGGGGTCCTAGGGGCTTAGAAAATTCAAAATTACTAAAGCTTAAAGCCCTAAACCATCTTAAACCACCAGTACACGGCCTCAGCATTGCAGCAAAATAACATGTCGCCACAAGAAAGTAAAAGGCGGGCTTGGGGCAGGGTCGGAGCGTCAGAAGGTTTTCAAATTTTTGGGCCCATGTCAAATCCGCACGTCCCAAAAAACAAAACAAGCTTTGGCCGTGATTGTAGTTGGATACACTTTTTGGAGTACTCCGTGTGAGTCTGCCCTCAGTGAGGGCACTTACAGTCTTCCCCCGAATACAACGTACAGTCATTATAGTTGAATTTGGGGTATCTTTCAGTCTAAATTCAGCTATAATGACCGTACCTTGTATTCGGGGGAAGACTGTAGGCAGAACGAAGAACACGGGGAGCACGACTGTCAGACACAAAAAAAGAACAAAAAAAAAAAAAGCCAACAAAGCTTTGGCGGTGAAAGTGGTTGGATGCATTTCAACGGCGCTAGTGTGAATATGCCCTCAGCGAGGGCGTTTTGAGCACGAGGAATATGTGCTGCCTTGCCGGCAGGGAAAGGAAGAAAAGAACAAAAGGATAAAAAAAGAATAAACCAACGTTTCACTCTCCCCGTAATAGTCGTCAGATGCATTTTGGAAAGTGATCATTTGAGTATGGCCTCCATGACGTCCTTCCACGACATCATTGATCTCTGGCATGTTTGTTCCTTTCTTTTTTTTTCCCCTTTCAGGTAGACCGCCAGCACCGGTGCCACTTCCAAAATTCCCACTGCAGGTACCCTCACGCAGAAGGCTCGGAAAATAGTGGCGCGCAGTAGGCTGGTAGCTTAAGGATTTTAGGTGCGGGTGTACTGGTGGTTTGATGGGGGCTGCTCATATCACCCCCTCTACCACCCACACGGGGTTTTATTAAAAAGAAATGAAAGGAAAAAAAAAAAACTAATCAAGAAAAAAGAAATGTAGGAAAAGAAAAGGGAAAAAAGAAAAACTAAGCCAATTGTTTGCCCTGAGGAATCCTAAGAATGTGCAAAACTATCGGACCTACCTTATTCCCCCAAATATAACGTACGGTCATTATAGCTGTATTTAAGGCATCTTTCCGTCTAGATACAGCTATAATGACCGTACGTTGTATTCGGGGGAAGAAGGTAGTTTCAAAACTTGTCAAGGAGAAAGGAAAAGCAAAGGAAATTCACTTGTCAAGGAGAAAGGAAAAGCAAAGGAAATTCACAAGTGTTGGGACTGGCCGGCATGTTCATCCCGAAGCTTCTTCAGGAACCCATGAGAGGCCAGAAACATCTTTTTTGATTGTTTGTTTTAGGAGAGGCCATAAACATAGATGAGAGGCATTTGACTAAGTCTGAAAGTGCAATGAGTGAGTAGTTGCACTTTGAGACAGGATACAGGCCAGGTTCGTCATACCAGGCTTTGTACTTTGAGACAGGATACAGGCCAGGTGTGTCATACCAGGTTTTGCATGTTGACCATCTTTGACTCTAGAAAGACTCAGACTGTTAGTCTTGTGCTTTCGGGCTTGACATTTAAGTGCAGTGCTCAAATAAGTCAAATAACTTGCAAATTTCTGCACTACATGGGAGTGCGATCAAATCACTGGCTTTCCGGGTAGGGCCTGCGTATACCTCAGCCTGCACAACCTTAAGGAGGAGAAGAAGAAGAAGAAGAAGAAGAAGAAGAAGAAGAAGAAGAAGAATTTAGAAAAAAACTTTAACAGATAATGATAATATTGTTCACCTCATTGTCATCGTTGGTTTCATGTATGTATGCTCATGTTGCACTCTTATGGGGAAAAAAGACAGAAAAAAAGAGGGTAAGCCCCTAATATTGTTGTATCCATCAGATTCTGTCAGTACTCGAACATACGATCTGTTTATTGGCAGCTACATGTGTATACTATTTCTGCCTTATCTATTGAGTTTTGCGTCAAATTTCTGGACGTATGTTTACACTGCACAAGCCGCCAATCAGTGGTATGCTGATCAGGGTCTCCCTTTTTCTTCTTTTTTTTTAACAGCCACCTGGCATGCTAGTTGGTGTGTCCCACTTAGTGGATTGTTTGTTTCTGAACTTAGACTAGGTCTCAAACAAGAACCCCGGTACCGGCGGTATGTGGATTGTTGTGTCTGTGGTACTGAGATGATGAAATTATTCACACAAAAAAAGAAAGAGGGAAAATTTGGATCAGAAACAAACATCCTTTTCCTTTTTTTTTAATAAGGGAAAAAAAGAGCAAACTTTCCGTAGTCGTAACTTCAAAGTCAGACACAAAGAAAAACAAACATCCTCTTCGCACTCACCTCAATGAGACCTGGGTGACCATCATCTATGAGCTTAACCCATCGCCCACCGCATAGCCGAGCCTGCTAGCAACACCAGAAGGGAGCGGCAGTAAGAAATGTCATCCCCTTCACCAGTCTACCGCCACCAGAACGTTTCCCTGGATTTTTTCAGAGACGTGGCGTGCATGCTGCCATGTCGGGTGGGAAGTACGGGGTGTCGTTTCATGACACATTCATCCAGGCAAAACGGATCGCATCCAAGGCCTGTTTTACCTCGATGGATGTACAGTGAAACGGTCCCCCGGTACGCCCGGCCGGATGCAACAGCATGCACGCCGTGTCTCTGAAAAATGGCTGGAAAATGTACCGGTGGTTTAATACCTCCTCCTCATCACCTACCTACACTCTTCCATTCCAGCATATGGCAAACCTTATCTTATATGCCAGCAACTGAATGATCACCCTGTGATTTTTATTTTTGTAGTTAAAAATTTTCAACCACCGCAAGCAACTCCAACCCTTCCTTTCTGAGTCTGTTTTAGACTTTTAGTCCACTTCTTTTCTCAACCACCACAAGCAACTCCAACCCTTCCCTTCTGAGCCTGTTTTTGTCCTCTTTACAGACCCTGGGTTGGGTAGCTGGGTTTATTTTTAGACCACAGGTCCACAATGCTCCACATGTTTTGAACCACCACGAGTAACTCCAACCTTTCCCTTCTGAGCCTGTTTGAGTCCTCTGTAGAGGCCCTGGGTTGGGTAACTGGATTTCTTATTAGATCACAGGTCCACAGCCAAAATAGGGCTTATACCTAGCCCATGTGGGCTGTATGGTACACACATGTAACTGTTGCTATACAAATCATGAGTTCGAATCCTGATGGGGACTCACAACAGAGGAATACAATAATGTTGGGGATTGTGTCGCAGACCTATCAATCTCTGATAGGTATGGCACAAAACCAAGGAATACCAGAAATGAGAAACAACAGTGTGATGCAGCGGAAGACTGAAAGGCACGGATCTGACTCAATCAGACTGGACATGACCCAAATCTCAGCTGCACCTAATCGGATCAGGTCAGGGAGTGCATACACAGAAGAATGCTGCCTGACCTCACATGCATGGCAGGGAAATCACACTGACGAAGGGGAAGGGAAGATGAGAACTGCCACACAATGTAGTTGTAAACTGAAGTAGTCTTCACAGTCTGCATATCATGTCCAACCCCTGGGCATCGACCCACAAGATAGACTCCAAGTCTCCAAGTCTCCAAGTCTCAGACCTCTCTCTCTCTCTCTCTCTCTCTCTCTCTCTCTCTCTCTCTCTCTCTCTCTCTCTCTCTCTCTCTCTC